TCGCTGTTGAGTATCACTTACGACCTCGTGAGAATTTTGGCGGCTAAACTATTAACTAGGGAATCACGGAAAGATATTCACTCTTCGAGCTTTTGAATTCAGCTTTCATGCGCTGATGCGTGAAATTTTTAACTATTTTCCAGTTTTTGAACTGTTTTTGCATAGATAAAAGTAAAAATCAGTGAAAATCATTAATAGGCAATCGTTCAATGACCTGAATTGCACAAAACACATGATTGCACCGGCTAGTCTGGTACGCGTTGCTATTTATTGTTTATAGCGAAGGGATGAAACACAGATTGCTTTCGAACATGTTTTCGTAGCATATGTTATTTAGGTTAGTCCTTATCTCCAACCCCAGCATTCTCTTTCCAAATACATTTTGATCCATCCATCTCCTTTATGTTTCGTCTTTGTCCCACTTTGTTACATTGTGTAATATTTTTATAAATTTCGTATAATAAAATTCTCTTCATTTGCTACTTGCTTTTATTTAAAATCGACCCATTCCTCATTGTTTTTTTCTGCTTTTGTACCAAAAATCACCATTTATTCCTCGACAAACTTGCGCGAATTGCGAGGAGTTAGTTTAGCATTAACGCTGCAATCCCACCCCGAACCGACGGATTTTCTTTTTTTTCAGGAGGAGAAGCACGTATCACCAATGCTATTCGGGCAAAGTTTGATAAAGAGAAGCTGAAGCCGAAAAGTGATCTCGGAGGCGTTAGTTTTCATGCTTATTATCTATTTAATTTAAAAACATTTTTGTAGTTTCTCATGTTTTTATGCGTTTTTTGCACCTGCACAGTGCAGAAATCGCATATTGACGAGAGGTTGTCTGTCTGTTCGCCTGTACCGGTTTTTCATCTCGAGATCTACAAAAGCTGCAGGGCTGAAACTTTGGGAACTTAATGTGCATGCCTTTACGGGCCCCACCCCTAAAATGGGCGCTTTTACCCGCGCGGTACCTACGTATAGGCCCGCCAAAGCTTTTTACACAAGCTGCTAAATCGGAGGCCAGAGAAGCTGGAATGCTGAAATTTTAGGGGGACGTCTCCCGTTCACGTAGGTCTCAATGAGTTCAAACCAGCCTTCGAGTATACATGGTACTCACTTAGGGCTCACCAAAATTTTTCACAGGTAAGTTGTTAACTTGGGAACCTGAGAAGCTAGAGGATTGGAATTTTAAGAGGATGTTCCCCATCGAATTGAGTATTAATGAGCTCAAACCGAGCCCCCAAGTATGCATGGTACCAACGATGGGTCAGTGAAATTTTTTCGGACAAGTCGCTAATTGGGGAACCTGAAAAGTTAGAAGAATGTAATTTTAAGGGAATGTTCCCTATTCGCGTAGGTATTAATGAATTCAAATCTATCTCCCGGGTGTAAGTCATTCCCACGTGAAAGTTTTTTTCTGATAAGCTGCTAAACTGGGGAATCTGAGAATGTAGAAGACTGAAATTTTGAAGGGATGTTTCCTGACAGTCCTGGCGGCCAGTCTAAAATTCTTTCAATTAGAAGCATCTGCCGGAAAAACAGCGCCGTTAGCGACAAAAATCTGAAGGAAACTATGCAAAAAACGCATCTTCGCATGGACAGCCTGTGCGTTGGCCAATTTTTGAGAAATGAAAGCAAAATTTTGTTGATTTCAATGTAATTGTGTTTTCAGATGTCAGCAACGAGCAGTACATCACTGTCTCAGTTTGAAGAAAGTGATAATTCGGACGATAACGGCACACGACTGAGTGCGCGATCGCAAGGCAGTAGCAGCGGTAGCAACTGCGGCAGAAATTCGAAGGTCCTTGGGCTTATTAGCTTAATCTACATTTCATAATCATTTCATGCATTTCTATGGCTTATGGGGGGAAGGGGGCTTACCCACTGATGGTTTTCGGAGCGGATGGTTGCTTTTTTTGTGTAATACAAGTTGACATCCAGCGTTCGCATATGTCCTTATTACATCTCTTGAACATTTTTTTCACACATCATCTCCCCCACTATCTCTTTTTACATCTTGTTTTCTTGGTCTTTCCCTTCATTCCCTCGTAATAGTTCTTTTTTGACTTTTCGCGGGTTTTTCGCAACATATGGTAGTCAGAATCGAGCGGGAAAAAAAATTCATTTTAGGCCTTCAGTTCATTTCTACAAATTTTTTATCGAATCAAGTTGAATCAAGTCACTGAACTGGAATTACCTTCAAGTATTCTTACTGGACCAGTTTTGAAGAGGTGGGCGTTAGCGGGCTGCGCAGAGGGAAGAGATTTTGAACTTTGGCCGTTGCAGTAACATTTAGATTGGTTATTCGTGTCAAAAATATGTATATTTCACCTTACAGATTTGTGATACATGTAGTGGGCTGATCAATATGCTGCCGGGCGCAGTGTTGGAATGCGAAGAATGCGGTAAAATGCTTCATCAGAAATGCGCTCGTCCCGAAGTCACACCACTACAGGCAAAAGATCCACGTTTCCTGTTTGTGTGTAGTGATTGCAAAGGACGTGAAGTAAGTTACCTCGCAACTTCATATTCGAGCATTTTACTACAGTTTTTTCAGGTTATTGTGTGCTTTTCCAGTTATGCAGCTGGCAACTTTTCCAGTCGTTTTGACCAGTAATGATGGGATCGCCTGGTTGCTATAATATTGGCCGTCTTGAAGTTTTTTCCTTCTAAAGGGATTACTAACTCGACGGCTTTAGCTGTTTCGAGATTTCCTTGGCGTGTATGTGTGTACTGCGTGTATGTGTGTGTTGTGTGTATGTGTGTGTTTGTTATGTCTGTTTGTATGTGTACGTGTATTGAGTGTTTGTATGTGTGTATTGTGCGTATATGTGTTGTGTGTATGTATGTGTATTGTATGTGTATGTGTGTGTTGTGTGTATGTGTGTGTATGTGTGTGTTGTGTGTACGTGTGTGTATGTGTGTGTTGTGTGTATGTGTGTTAAGCATCAACACATTATTCCGAATGAGTTCATTCCTAGACCACTACGATGATATGCCGAATCGGCTTGGAGTTTTTGTATAATATTTTTGCGAATTTTCTTTTATCGCTATCTAGTCAAACCGAGTTCGAGCAGTTTTGATACCGCTAATCTTTTTGCCGAGCTAGGAACAATGAGAAGTTGGCAGCCTTGCGAGTGGCTAATATCGTTGCCAAAGTACTGCTTCGTGTTATATTCTTGAGCACTCACTTCCGAGGACTTCGTATTTCAAGCAGGTTGAACTCTCCGGGGAATTTTGAATGGCGGAATTGTCGAAATATTTTACACGTGATTTTTTAAGCCGACACTGCACCATCTGTTTTTGTGTTCACCAATTTTATCGTAATTTATTTGCAGGCCGAAAAAAATCTGCGTCCTTCAAAGCCGACACCATATGGTGCAGTTAAGAAAGTTATCTTTTTCACCTACACCTCATCTTTTCTCCTTTCTCTTTGTTGTCATCAAACAGATAATTTATTCATTGTGTTTTTTACTGGCTAAAAAGCACTCAGTTGCATTTCGAGTAATCCCTGGAGAAGCGATGTTCGGTCTGTCATACATTGCTCGGTCTGTCTTTACAGCTAAGGGATGAGATGCGGACTAACTACATCGTAAAATATCGTCCGGCATATGACACTGAAGACCAATCCTTCTACTATTTCATCCAAGTTCCGCGCTACGGACTGCATTAACCGGTTTATGGGCATGCAAAAAAAATATCGGTTTTTTCCCAAAGAATTTTTTTCCCGATATTCTTTGGGAAAAAATTTTTCAATTTTTCTCAAAGATGCCCCCCCTCCCCTCCCCACTCCCAAAGAATATCGATTTTTTCTCCAAAAAAAAGAACAATATCGGTTAGTCTTATAACTTTTTATTCGTAGTGCCGGTCAAATTGCTACTAACGAAACTTTGTCGAGCAAATCGGGGCATTAGGTCTTGTTATTAGCTTCAGTTTCCCTGCTTCTGTACAACCTAGCAAATTTAAACTTAGCCTTCCTGCACGACGGGTTTCACG